GGGGCTTAAGCTGGTGGCTGGTCCCCAGTGCAGCCAACCATCCCCCTCTCCACCTCCACCACTGCTCTGCTCCCAGCAGTTCTGCTGGTTAAACCACTGAGATCTGAGGCAGGCAGATGGGCACCCTGTCAGGGTGAGCATCCCACAGCTGGGGGCCCATGTGCCTGCAAGCTGAGCCCCACCAGTGGCAGCCTCAAGTGCTGCACTGTCCTCCCTGCTCTCCCTGCCCTCCCTCTCCTCTGTGCCCACATCTTGGGCACATTGGCCATCTGTGACATCCTAAGTATAAAATATAAGTGTTTGGGGCACTGAGGCTATGAGCTCCCAGCCTGCTGGAGCTCCTGATGCCCTTAGGGACTGGGAAGTGCACCCTGACCTGGGAAGGGCACCTCGAACCTGGGAATTGCCTTGCCATTGTCACAGGAGAATACTGGAGTGAGTGGACACTTCTTGGTCAGGACTCTGCCAAACTCAGCCCTAATCAGAGTTTTGGACTTCAGAGTCAGTCACCCCATTTTGCAGCTAAGGCCTCACCATGGGGCTATTCAGGTGGGACTAGGATGTTCCTTCTTGTTTGGTGCACAGCAGTGGCAAGGCTAACTGCATATCAGGTTTGACCTGTTCTGGGCAAAGCAAGAACTGGGGACTGAGACTGTGGCTGTGTGTCAGGTGAGTAAACTAAGGCACAGAGCAAGCAAGGACTGCCTGTAGCGGGGCCAGCCAGGTGGGTCAGAGTGGCACAGTTGGCTACTTCCCATCAGCTCAGCACCCTCAGCAGCATCTGTGCTCCCCCAAAGGTCACCAGGGATTGCAGGAGCATGAACAAAGGCCACCCTGGGGTGACACCATGTGCATGGGGAACTCTGTGGCACAGGGAAGCAGAGGGCCCTGGAGCGATGCTGAGGCCCAGGCTTCATGAAGAAGCCCTTTCTCTGGCCCCTCTGGCCACAGCACCTCCCCATCACCCCTCGTCCCTGGCAAGTCAAGCTGATGGCCTGCAGTGGCCTCTCCTCTCTCACAGGTGTCAGCTCTGTCACCCAGTGAGGTGACAGCCAACCCACCAGCATGCCCTGGGCATTGCCACTGCGATGGTCACCATGGGGCCGGCCTGGTGTGAAGGCCTTGATCACTGCCGGGGTGTTTGTAACCACCCTCTGGAACCTGAGGTTCTTCCTCAACCCCTCCAAAGGCTCTGGAGAAGAGCCTAAACAGAGGGAGCCATTGGTGATTCTGGTGTGGGAATGGCCCTCCAAGCAGGTCCCCAGTGTCAGCAGAGATGTGTGCCATGAGCTGTACAGCATCACAGGCTGCCAGCTCACTACAGAGCGGCAGCTCCTGCACCAGGCCAATGTGGTGGTGTTCCCCCACTCCAGGCTCCAGCCTGGCCAGGACAAACTGCCCAAGGAGAGGCTGCCGGGGCAGAACTGGGTGTGGGTCTCCCTGGAGTCCCCCTCCAACACTAGAGCTCTAGCAGCATGGAACCAGACCTTCAACTGGGTGATGACCTATAGACAGGATTCGGACATCTTCATCCCCTATGGCAAGCTTGTACCCAATCAGTCGGCCACCGTGAACATCCCTGCAAAGACCAACTTGGTGTCCTGGGTTATCAGTAACTACCACAGGACTCAGAAAAGAGCTGAAGTCTACAAAAACCTCTCCAGGTACCTCCATGTGAATATATACGGGAAAGCAAACAACAAGCCCCTCTGCAAGGACTGCCTCTTGCCAACAATATCCAAGTCCAAATTCTACCTGGCCTTTGAGAACTCCATCCACCGGGACTACATCACAGAGAAACTCTGGAGGAACTCACTGCTGGCCGGCACTGTGCCTGTGGTGCTGGGGCCACCCAGGGCCAACTATGAGCAGTTTATTCCTGCAGACTCCTTCATCCATGTCAATGACTTTGGCTCCCTAAAGGAGCTGGCCACCTTCCTGAAGACAGTGAACTCCAGTCGCTACCGGCAGTTCTTTGCCTGGCAGAGGAGGTTCAGTGTGAAGCTCTACACTGACTGGAGGGAGCGGATCTGTGCCATCTGTACAGCCTACCCCCACCTTCCCCATGGCCACCTCTATCCTGACCTGCAGAGCTGGTTCAACTCCTAGTGCATGCCAGGACCCTTGGGATGAATGCAGGCAGGGGTGGGAGGTGCATGAGGCACCCACCTGCACACATGATGTGGAGCAAAGACAGGAGCACCCCACTCTCCTCCCAGCCCAGCTGTTGCCACACTGCAACTTCAAGCAACTCCCCATGACTTCATGTTTTGTGAAACAGGACTTACCACCCCGACCCAACACTGAACACCTTGCCAGGGTGCTGGCAGGACCAGAGGGTACTTTGGAAATAAGTGGCACAGTGCTGCTGAGGCTGTGCATGTGGTGTGGACAGGAGAGCAGGGTGGTGGTGGCTCAGGGCTCCCTGACCTCCCCTGTGATCCTCAATGTCCCCTCAGCACCTTCTGCTGGGTGCCAAAGTCCTGGCAGCAGATGCCCTGTGGTGACATTTTGTGGCTGGGCTGGAGTGGCAGGGGTCAGCCCAGGGGGGTCCATTACTCCATGGCTAGGGAGGAAGGACAGCATCTGCTCCCCTTCTTCCTTGCAGCACCCATTTCCTGTCCCCAAACCCTGAGCCATGGGTGTCGCTGTGCCAGTGAGGAGCCACAGGACAGCAGATGCTCTCAGAGCAGCCTTTGCTGCCAGGCAGGCAGAGGGATACTGTGGTTTGTCACTCCCTCCCTGCTGTGACAGGAAGCCAGTGAGCTGACAGCCTCTGAAGGCTTGCACCATCCTCGAGTAAAGCCAGTCCCATGGGAAACTTGCACATGCACACATTGCACTGGGGAAACCCTGCACCATGGGCACCCTGCACCATGGACATCCCAAGAGGAAGTACCCATCTGGGATCATGAAATTGGGGTGAAAATCGGGGTTGAGTGACATGACCAGGGGTAAGACATGACTGCTCCATCTGTGCCTTGCTCTTTGCCCCTCTACTCAGTGCCATCAACTCCCTTGATATAAACAACTCTTTTTGTCACAAGTTTTTTCAGTTTTCTTCCCTGTGGGCCTGAAGTCACCAAACCCCACCTCTGCCACCCTGCAGGCTGCCAGGTGCCCAGCAGGACTGAGAGTTGGCAGAGACAGCCCTCCCCTGGCACAGCCCTGGTGAGGTGGCAGTTGGACAGGCACACTGTGCTCTTCTGACTTCTGTGGCTTCCGATTTCCGCTTCGTTGTTTTCTGGGTCAACCAGAAGTGGAACGGGAGGGACTGTGGATGCCCACAGACAGATGCTGGGTACTCATGGGCAGGGGGTGCCAGGGGTGCAGGATGTCGGAGTCTCATGGTGGGCTGTATGTAGTTCTTGCGTGGCTGCATGCAGAAAACCAGACAGTGGAAATGTGGAGAAGCAAACCTGTGGGAGACGACATCTGTCTCACATTTCTGCTCCTGACCCTGGCCAGCCTCCTGCACCACTCAAGTGCCAGGCAGCACTGGGCAGCAGCAACAGGAGGCAGTTCCCAGTGGATGTCACACACAGCTGTACCCCTACCCTGTGGGCAGGCAAGTTTGAGGCTCTGGGGAAGCAAGCAAAGATGCAGAAGGGCCCCACCCCATAGGGCTGGAATCTAGCCCAGCCCAGCCCTTTGCAGGGTCCCAAGGTGCCCAGTAAGCAGCTGCCTTCACTGCCCCTGGACACTGCCTAGTGCTAGTGCCTAGCACTGCCCTGGTGCCTCCAGGCAGCCCTAGAGAGCAAACCCCTTATAGAGCAAAAAATGGGGATTTCATTCTGCTCAGGGCAAGGGCCCTTGAGAGAATGAACCGGGGACAAACCAGCTGAGAGTGTGGTGGGGAAAAGTGAAGACCCCAGACATCCCTGCTCCCACCAGCTCAGCTCCCAGTGCCCAATAGACCTGCATGGCTGGGTTGTTATCCCCTCATCAGAGATTGCCTTAGCTGGACCACACATACAGGAACATCCTTCCCTCCCCTGTCAGCGCCATAGTACTGAGGGCAGCCCCAGCTTTCCATTGGGAAGCTTATCCACCCTGCTACATCCTTAGTTCTCTGTCCCTGGCAGCTTCTGGAGCAGCTTACAAGCTCACACTGCTTCCAGCCTTCCCAGAAGCAGCTACAGCAAAACAGCAGCCCGAACTGGGTGGAAGATGACCTCTCCTCTCTTTACTTTTGACCCCCTCTGCTTTGGGGGGGCAACAGCCCTGACAAGTTGGTACTACTCCAGGGCCAAGATGCCACCAGTTGTGGAGGGAGGCCAAGCTGCAGGCAGCCAAGAGCTGAGTGTTGCTGGCATGATGGGGACATGTCCACCTTCTTAGGGTGCCTTACTCCAGCCCTGCTGTGCCCCTGCATGCAGCTGAACCTCAACTGCTGGGCTGCAGGAATAGGGATGCAAGGAAGGCAAGAAAAGGGTTAACTCATTCTTGCCTCAAAGAACTCTGAGATTTATTTCATTGCCAGAGGGAATGTGATTAAGAACAAAAAATGTAAAAATCATCATTAACTACAGCAGGCTGGAAGGCATGGGGTGCTAGCAGCATGGACAGGGTGGTGTAGGCCCACTGGGCTGGGCCCTCCAGGGAAAGGTAGTCTCTGGGCATCTGGGCTGGGGGTGGGTGAGGGGGGAACAGCAGCTGGAGAGCAGGGGGGCCTGGGGGTGATGTTGGGCACAACACATGAACGCCCCAACCCAAACAAGCTTTATCAACTGCCCCACAGAGGGGTGAAGTTGTCTTGTGCCACAGGGTGAGGGGTGGTATGGGGGGCTCACCTTCTCCCCTTGCCCCAGCCCTTGGCTCATCCTGGCCACCCAGGAGGGTGAGCAGAGCCACCAAGGCCATTGGCCCTGGGCATGGCACCCCAGCCCCACTCTACATGACAGGGTGGAAGGAGACACCTGGGAAACTAGATCACTACAAAATTTTTTGCTTTTTAAAAACTACAACCAAAAACCTTTAAAAAAATAATAAAACCACCGCCTCCCCCCACCCTCCCCAAAATCTAAAAAATACTTTTTTCTGCATCTCACAGGAGAGCAGCTGGGCTGGGGCCAGGCACAGGCTCAAGAGCCCTGGGCACATGTGGCTTCAGAGGGTGCAGTGGGGCAGGAGGAGCTGCCCCCAGGAGTGGTCAGAGGGGGGCCAATTCTGCTGGGACCAGTAAGCTCACATAACTGAGAAGGGCTGGGAGCATCTGCAGAGAGCAGGCACCATCGCTGTGCCAGGCTCTCAGCGCCTCACACTCCAAAAGCCCCACACATCAGCCCAGAGAGCAGAAGCAGGGCTGTGCCTGTGCGAGCCCAGGGCAAGGGGAGCTGCCCCAGAGCACCAGCCCCCCTTGCTGGTGTAAGCCCACAGCCCCTGGTTCAGTGGCCGCTGTTACTCATGGAGAGCCCAGGCTGCAGCGCTTGTGGGAACATCTCGGCTTTGTGAAAGGTCGGCATGTAGACAGGAGGGGAGGGTGCCAGGCTGTAGCCCTGGGATGTCACTGGGATGGGCAGAGTGGAGGGCACCAGGGGCTGGTTCATGTCATACATCATCCCCTCTGCCTCGTTGCCGTAGGGCAGCAGCAGCCGTTTGCCTTTCTGACGCCGGTTGCAGAACCAGACCCGGACCACCTGTGGGGAGACGGAGAAGGGTATGGGGGTGACCCAGGCACACCATGTGGGTGACAACGAGACCCTTCTGCTGGTGACATCTCCACAGCATCCCAAGCTGCCAGTGCAGCCCCTTCCCTGTCACAACTCCTTGCTAGGCTCAGCTCAAACAAACTTCAGCCATGAACACTTTCCCACTGCTTCCAGAGTCAAGATGACAAAAATGGCAAACGTTAAATAGGAAAGAAGATAACAAATCAAAAGAAAGGTTCCTCTCCAAAGGCTGGCAGCATAGCCAGATGAAGCCAATAGGCAAACTTGTGTATTGTTAGTGGATTATAGTTTGTCTCTCTTCTGGTGCATTTCCACTTCAGAAGAAAAACATTGTAACTTTCTGGGAGGATTCTTGGGATCAAAAATCAGCTTCTTCTGAGATGAATTAGTATCAAAGGATTACTTTTATAGGATAACATTAATATATTTATGTATATATATACACGAATGCCTGTAGTTGGGTCTGGGAACTATATTTGTCTCCCTTTAAGTTTTAAATCTTTAGTCTGTGAACAAAAGTCTTCTCTGGAACCAAGTGGGTTTTTCTTTTATATTGATGAGCCATATATATATATACTAACTGTCTGGCAGAGCTAAAGGGCAGTTGTTTACATCTTTCCATGTGCATTTAATTTTTGCTCTGAGCTAAAGTATCAAACTGGCAGGTGCTCAGGAGCTGGCACCGTTTGGGCACCCATCCTCCCCACCCTTCCAACCTACATCTTTATCCAGGTTGAGGTCCTCGGCGATCTGGGAGATCTCCTGGGGACTGGGCTTCACACACTTGCGGAAGAAGCTCTCCAGTGTCCCTTTCACATTGGTCTCGATGCTAGTCCTGCGTTTTCTCTTCCGAGCTTGGGCCAGTACTTGTTCTGCATTGCACATCTGGGAATGAGAGAGGGAATATGTTTGGTTACCAGGTCGAAGAGTCTCCACCAGGCTTGGGACACGTGTGGCTAGCTGCAGAGCTTGGGGCAGATTGTGTCCCTGTGGCTCTCCACTGAGCATTATTCCATTGTGACTGGGGCAACTCCCAGTGTCCCAGCACTGCCAGCAGTGAGGCTGGACACATCCTCCTGCAGCCCCCCGAGGTTCCCCAGGGAGCAGCAAGCTGCACATTCAGTCTATCTGAGATTACAGCAGGACCTCGCTGCTCCAGAAAGGGAGCTGCCACAATCACAAGGTGTCTGCAGGGGGATTTGGCTTCCTCCCTCAGCTTGGCAGAAGGTGATACCCAGTGGTTTGCCCTCAAGCCAGGTTCAAGCCATGCAGCAAGATGGTGCTGTGGCAGAAGATGCCTTCTGTTCCCCTCTTCTCCCTGAAAGCACGTGGGAGACGGAGGAGAATCTGTGGCTTCAGGGTTTGCAGGTACCCAGCTCCCAGCCCCCTTGGCCCTGCACCTCTTGCATGTTGTCCGTGTTCTCCGCCTCGTTGAGCCAACGCTGCAGCAGCGGCTTTAGCTTGCACATGTTCTTGAAGCTGAGCTGGAGCGCTTCAAAGCGGCAGATGGTCGTCTGGCTGAACATCTTCCCTGTAAGGGCAAGGCAGGCAGGGCATTACACACCACACAGCTTCCCCCGCCCACAGTTCCCCAGAGCCACCACCCCCCCAAGCTTGCCTTGCTCCTGGGAGACCAGGAAAGGCATTCACCCTGTTCCTTCAGCAGGGATTTAAAGCCCTGAAACGTATCTCAATAAGTAACCATTTTAAACCAGTTCCCTGTGAGCTCGAACTTTCCAGCTCACCGCAGATCTGGAGATACCCCTCTAGGAGCCCTGGGCCCGGACTGGCGCTTGATACCCCCTTTGCGGGTCGTTAAGGAGCAGAAATCACTTAGCCCAGGTGATTACAAACCCCTCCCGGGCCTCTCCCTTCCCACCGGCTGCGGGGGAACGCAAGGGCTCTCCTCCGACCCCTCACCGTAGAGTGTGCCCAGTGCCAGCCCCACGTCAGCCTGGGTGAAGCCCAGCATAATGCGCTTGTGCTTGAGGTCCTTGGCGAACTGCTCCAGCTCTCCTGAGGTTGGCGCATCCTAGCAGGGGCAGAAACACACTGAGAAGGGACAACTCGCGCGCAGGGTCCAGGGTCTGTCGGGGTCAGTGGCATAAGAAGGCTCGGCTGAGCCATAGGCAGCACTGACACCGACCAGGCTCACACAGGACCCACCCCGACAACGCACATTGCTCAGCTCGACCCAATCTGGAGGGGCGGCGGCCAAGGGTAGCACAAGGGCACCAAGTGCTCCTGCTCTGCCTCAACACGCCCTGGAAATGTTCCCTTTGTCCTCTGGCTCGAGCCCACCTGACCTTGCCTGGCCAGAGGCAGCACCGATGATCACATTGGCTGAGTCCCAGATTTGCCCCATTCTCACTCATCCCACGACACGTATGCACGGGGACGCTCAGTTCTCCCGCGGCGTGGGCCACTTCCCACGGCTCCCAGGCTGAGACTGCCCCTCGCCAGCCGCTCTCCCGCCTGCGTCCGGAGCAGGGAAAAGACTCCCGTGAAGAGAGGGACGAAAGCGCGAGTGATATTTAAGCACCTTTGCCGCCAGCAAGCTCTTCCGTTCTGGCAAGCGGCTACCCAGGCGCTCCCCACCTTCCTACGGGGGCATTTTGAAGCCTTTTACCCAATTTCCATGTTTTCAGAGGGGTTTCGGGTTTTCCAGGAGTTTTTCCTGTCACCGAGCCACGGCTATTAGTTTCTGGCGAAAACCGGCACCGGTAAACTCGGAGCATCCCTCCCACGGAGGACGGATGCAGTCCACATCGCCGTCCTGCATCATCCCGCAGGTTGCAAACGCCGTTCATGAGCACTCCCCAGCCAGCGCGGCCGTCGCGGCCGGAGGACACACACGCATCGATTGTGGCGTGGGACCTCCCGCAGCTCCGACCCGCTGGCTGGCGGTGCAAATCCTCCCAGCCCCGTCAGGGACCATGCCCCGCCGCCTCTGCTGTCCCCGGGGCGGGCTCGTAATACGTCAACATTGAGAAATATTAAAAACAAGTGCAAAACACAAATTCAGTCGTGCCGGGAACCAGCCCTGCTGCCCTCGTCTTCTTCCCGCCGTCATCTCTGGGCTGTCTGCCCCGGCAGACTTCAGTGCCCGTGGAGGTACGGGAGCGGCGTTCGGGGACGCAGCCGACCGAAGGGACACTGAGGGGACTGGCCAGGAGCCCTCGGTGAATTCGCTGCGCTGCCCCGCCTATCACGCCAGAGACAGCCTTAGGTATCGCTACCCGGGACGGCCCCGCCGCATCGACATGGGGAAGTTCATCTCATGAGTTCCCAAAACCGCCCCCATATTACCCCAAAGCAGCCTCCCCAAGGCTCTCGCCCACTGCGGAGAGTCTGTCTGACACAAGCGGGACGAGCCCCAGCGCCGGGTCAGGGCTTCTCCCGCGGGCACCCGACGGTGGGGTCGGACAGGTGGCACCGGCGGAGTCTCGGCGGTACACGAGAGCAGCCGGGCAGCTCCTGCCGACGGGGCAGCGAACCGCGACTCCGGACGGGGAGGAAAGCCCCAGGGCCACACCGTATGCGGACGGCGGGAGCGGGGCAGGCCAGCCCGCCCCATCCCCGTCCCGTCGGGTCTCACCTCCTCGCCGCTGTCGCTGGAGTGTCCGCCCTCGCTGGCGGCGCCGCTGGAGCTGCCGCTGCTGCCCAGCCCCGAGGGGCCGCCGGAGCCCGGCTGCAGCGCGGCGGGGCAGAGCTGGGGGCCAGGGAAACCAGCGGCGGCCGGGCCAGGGAAGGGCGGCCCGGGCAGGGCGGCGGGGCCGGAGGGCGCAGGGCCGGCCCAGGGCGGGGGCGGCCAGGCCGGGCCACAGTAAGCGGCGGTGCGGGGCTCGGGATCGGGCTGGCTGCAAGGCCGGCCCGGGCGCGCCTCCGCCTTGGCGGGTGGCACCGGGGCGGGCGGGGGCAGCCAGGCGCGGGCCGGCGGCGGGTCCCGGGCGGGCTCGGGCTCGGCGGTGGAGGCGAAAGGGAAGAAGAGCGGCTGGGCGGGCGCCCCGTCGAAGCTGCCGCGGGAGAAGGGAGGTCCGGCGTCGGTCAGGAGGCCGAAGGGGGCGGCCGGCAGCCCCCCGTCCGGGCTGAACATGCTGCCCGCCGCCCGCTGCCCTAGGGCTCCATGCGGGGGCTGCCGGCCGCTGCCTCCCTGCTGCGGCGCCGCCGGGGCCTCTGAGAGCGGCGGGGCCGGGCCGGGCCGGATGGAAATGGGCCCCGGCCCCATTGGGCCCCGCATTGGTGGGTCGGGCGTGAACTTGATCCCCCAGGGGGGCGGGGGGCACGGACGGAAGGTGCGATGGGAGGGGGCTGCGCCGGCCCGCACCCAGCGCCGGTGGGGAGGTGGACGGGGCGGCCCCGGTGAGACAGGGAGGGGGTGAACACCGGTCCTCGCCCCTCGCGGGGCCTCGCACCCCTCCGGTCCCAGGGGACTCGAGGAAACCCACGTCCTTCGCATCCCTCCGGCCCCACGCTGTTCGGGGTCCACCGCGCCAGAGTTAGGGCAGCAGCAGTCACGGGGTCTTCCCACCTGGGAACCCCCAGCGCTGCGGAGCCTAGGCAAGAAACGGGATGGCTTTGGGGAGCTATTGGCGGCATGAACCGGGGCCAGGGGCTGGTGTGAGGGCAGCCTGTTCAGCCGCGGCAGCCACTTGTCCCCAGGACAGAGAACAAGCTGCGCGATGTCATTGCCCACCGTGTCATCGTGCAGCAGCAGGGATGGTCCAGGGCTTGACCATCACCTCTTGCCCCTCTTGGTGTCTAGTCTTGTTGACTGAGCCTTAGCTCCTTGTGGAGCATGGACAGAGCTGAGGCTCCCGGGATCCCTTACAGTCTCACCATTCCTCTCCTCTTTCTCACTCTGCAGAGGAGGGTTGTGGCACGGAGGAGCATGTCCCTGGGGCCCCAGAGCTAGGGGTGTGCTGGCGGGAAGGAATTGCAGCTCCAACTACCGTGTCCATCGGCTCCACAATGAAGCACGCTCCATATTTTCTCTATCTTAAAGACTTTCCCTTCACACTGTCCTTCACAATGGTTCTATCAGGGCTGGCTCCAGTCATTTCCCATTTTCTTCCCTCCGGGCTCAGCACTGGAACCTTCCCGATCCTGACACTGCCATCACATCAGCCCCTGCTTGGCTCTGCCCGATGCCAGCTCCTGCGTACGGTCAGGTACCAACGGCATGGGCACCCCCTGACCTCAGCTGGAGCAGGGCGAGGGGTGCTCCTTCTGCCAGTAGCCCGTGATCCCAGCCGGAGCAAGGCAGGGAGTGATCCCGCTGCCGACACTACTGCGTGTTTATTAACTCGGATTACCGAGAGCAGCTGCCGTCTCGCACTGGAGATATGGCGAGCAGATAGGCTGGAGCAGCCTCCCCCGCGGCGGGATGGGAATGGGGCTGTGGGCGGGAGAACTCGGGGAAGGTGCTTGATGATGTTTATGAAGCACTTGCTTTGGCTCCTGAGACGGCTGGAGCCCAGGGATTGACACCCAGGGTGAGGATGCCCTGGGACAAGCACCCAAGGGTTGGCAGACAGGGACTCATACCCACAGCTGGCATCCAAGGACTGGGATCTACAATGCCCCTGGCCCAGCACATGGCTCTGCTGCATGTCAGGGGAAGAGCTAAGCCTCTTGATGATATTCTTCTAAGGAAAAAAATGGTCCGGTGGATGAGGTGGAATTAATGTCTGTTCCTGATGCCTGGCAGGACATGTACTAGGCTGCCCATCCTGGCTGTGCCAGACTGCTCCAGGAGGCAGGGCAGTCCCAGGAAAATGAACTAAGGATTCAAAAACTTTTTCAGTGGGGACATGGGCAGCCCCGAGTGAGCCCTGTGGCTTCTGGACCTCGGGGGTCCCATGGCCAGAGTGGTGAAGCACCTTCCCCAGCAGGGGCTGGATTCAATCTGGCAGGGGACGACTTGGAGCGTGCTGCTGGGGATGCTGGAGCTAGTGCTGTGCAGGCAGAGCTGCCCGCTGCCTGCTGTGCTGCTGCCTGCCCCACTGCCAGCGGGCAGAGGAAATCTCTCTGCGGGACCCCGATGGCAGCCATCAGCCCTGCTCCTCCCGGGCTCCCGCTGCGGCCCAGGGTTTCAGAAGCTCCTTGGCCTGGCAGTAACTCCGTTTCCCTTTGATTTATTGTTCCCGGGCTGGATCCCCTCCTCCTGCCGACTTACTTTTTCTCTCCATGCCCCCGGGAAGCCTTCCAGGCCCCCCTCCCCCCTCGGCCTCTTCTTCCCCCCCCCGGCCCCCCCCCGGTCCTCAAACGCATTCCTGGTCCTTTCATATACAGACGGAGGGGAAGGGAGACGTTGACTTTGAACCGGCCCCTTTGTAGGCGCGGGGCCCATTGTGGCGGTGATAGTTTTAGCTGGGGGATGTGGAAGGAGTCAGTGTGGTTTCTCGGTGTGTGCCCCCCCCCCCCCCCAAACATTTCAATGATTTTGGGGGATTTGGGGGGGGGGGGGCGCTGCACGAGGTTATTGTGTAGGGTCTTTGAACACCAGTGACCACGATTCTTCTGCCTGCTCCAGAGGAGATGGATGGATGCATCCTTCCATCAGCCCAGATCTGGAACATGCTCTGTCTAACACAGCCAGGGATCAGTGGGATCCTGCTAAGAAAATGGGAGCAGAAAAAAAAGTGTCTGCTTTACTGGTTCACTGAGATGGCAGCAGGCTGGAGAGGGCCGAGATGTACTCTCCTGAGATCTGCTCATCCTCCCTTTGCTGAGTGTATTGCTGTGGCACTGGTGCTTGGGATTTTAAGAAAGTGGATGAGCACGAATTATGTTTTATGCATGGTCAGGCCGCACTTTTCTCTAGCAGGTGATGGAAAGGCCATTGGGGCTGTGCTGGATACCCCTGAGTTGCCCACCGAAGGGGGGCTGCAGTCCTACCTGTGGTGGGTCAGGGTCCCATAGTGAGGGGGCCACTTCAGGAGAAATTAAGAAGGACTGGACAGGGAGTTCTAGTCCAGAAACCCTGTGCCTGGAAGAATGCTGATCTGCTCCCTGTCAGCTGGGCTGCGTCTTACCCAAGAGGACAGTATGGAGTCAGTCATGCCAAGGGGCTAAGGGGAAAATCACAGAAGGTGTTTTGGTCCAGTTCTGTCCCCTTATTACAAAGGCCCTGGGCTGTAATGTGTGTCTCACCTACACCAACACAGTGCCTGATACACCAATGGGCCCACCCCATTGTGTTACAGCTGGGGAAAATGAGGTGGGGGCTGAAGCTCTTGGATGTCTGCAGCACAGATGCCCTGTCCCTGGACAAATGACTTCCATGCCTGAATGTGTGGTAGGGACAGGGATTCCCAGGGGATACAGAGCTCCTGTGGCCACCGTGCCTGGAGCAAGGGGGTTTTCCCAGGCAGAACAGTCAAGTTTTACTATTAGCTAGAACTTCCCAAAATGTCTGGATGTGCTTCAAGAGAGATTGCTGGGTTGTGGGAGCAGAGGAAGGACAAATTTGGGGACCTCAGTGGACACGAGTGACTTCGAGTCTGGGTCTGCCCAGGACTGAGCCCTGGGGGCATCTCAGGTTATTTGGGGTGTGCATCACCCGCGGGTGCAGCTGGAGACCCCCATGAGAGAAGCATTCCGGGTGGGTGCTTTGGCAGTGAGTCAGCACCCACCTCCGGCTGCCGAAACCAGGAGAGATGGTATCAGCCTGATGGGGGGGTTTGGCGTGATCAAAGGAGCTCCGCTGCACACAATGCGGGGACTCGATAGCCCTTATCTGTCATCCCCGAGGTGCGAAGGGCCCCGTGGGGGCTCGGGGCGGAGGTGGGGTGGGGTGGGTGATGGGTGCTGAAGGGCTGGGTGCGGGGGCTCCCACCCGACCTTTCTCTGGAGAAACCTCTCCTGGCAAATACTGAGACAAGAAAATTATCCCAGGTTCTTTATGTGCCTGGGAAAACCCTTGGGAAGGGTTTGAACGCTCCTCCAGTTGCAGAAGCAGGATGGCTGCTCACTGGCCCCTAAGGAAGGTTTGGGGACCCACAGCATCCTCCCTCCCGGTCCCCTTGTCCCATCCTGCTGTCGAGAGGAGCCCCCCGAGCCGCGGGCCCCATACCACACACTCGCATGGGTCTCAAACATCGTCGTTTAATAAAATCTCCTTTTAAAATAACTACAATTCATACAACAACGACAAGAGGTGTGGGGAGAGTGGCAGCAGCCCAGGGGAGGGGGAGTGCAGGACACAGGGACAGAATCTGTGCCATGATGGCCTCTGTCAGCTACCCCACCAGGGACAGGGATGGTCCCATGCCACCATCACTCACCAGCACATCCCTGCCACTGCTGCCTGCCCTGTCCATGTACAACGGCTCCAGTGAGCACAAGAGGTCACCTGTGGCTGTGACAGTCCACAACAGGGTCTGGACATGAAGCCACAGGATAAAGTAACCCAAACCCTGTTCTGGGTCTTCCACTGGAGGGGTCCATGGCCTATGCACCTGGGAGGGTTTGAGGAAGAGCACTGGGCTCCAAGCAAGAACATGTTGGTGAGGGCTGGTGAGGCTGGACATGGGCAACGGAGAGGTGCAGAGGGTCTGAGACCCAAGAGGTGCCTGGGATGGAGCAGTGGAGACTGTTGCCTGCCACAGAGGGATTCTCAGAGAACACACAGTGCCAGGCTCCACAGGGATGCTGCCAGGGCATGAGCTTTGTGGGGTTTGAGGCAGCACAGCAAAGCCCCCATGCCATGGCTGCCCCTCTCAGCCACCCCAGCTCCTTCCAGCCCTATTCCTGCCTCCCCCACAGCCACATAATCTTAAAAACAAAACCTTGAACACTTTTTCTTGAGCTTTTACTCCACTGAGGCCTGTGGTAAGAGAGCCCATCCTCTGCCAGCACAGACTGGGCTCCCAGATCACAGTGGCATTGGGACTGTCCTGAAGCCCAGCACCCGAAAAGGGGTCAGAGCACAGGGCAGCAGCTGAAGGAGCATCCTGGGGAGTGATGTCAGTGCCTGCTCGAGCTTCTCCTGCTCCTGCTATTGGCTCCTAGAGCACTATCCTGCTGCCAGGAGCTGCCCAGGCTGGGGTGGAGGAGGCAGAATGGGCACTGAAGCCCTTAGTGATGACACCTGCTCCAGGGAAAGGCTCCATCCCTGGCAGATGGGCTCTGGGCAGGCTGTCAGCCCTGATACCAGGCATGACCATGCCCAGCCCTCCTGGCCCTCTTCTGCTTTCTGACCCTCTCTCTGACTCCTTCCCAGCTGCTATGCATCAGCCTTGCTGCAGCCAAGGCAGCAGCCCCCTCCTGAAAGCCAACTACAAAGGCACAGTGCCAGGGCAGCGCCCCCAACAATTTCTGTGCCAAAGCAGCCGCCCCCTGCGCCACGAGAGTTGTGAGCGAAGGGCTACGCAGGGACGCGGTCACAGCAGCAAAGAGGACAAGGACGCTGGAAACGGGGGCAATCCCCCCCCATAGCTGTTAGTGGGTGTTTATTGGGCAGGCGTCGAACAGTCTGGCAGCGCGGGGTCAGCGTCCCTCGGCCCAGCTGTGGGTGCCCCTCCGGCACAGCCACCCCGCCGGGCACGGCCGCGGGCACAGTCTGTAGCAAGCTCGGGTGCAGGAGATGGGGTGGTTACTGGTGCGACTTCGGGTTGGAGGGGTGTAAGGAGGAGTCATCAAACAGTGGGTTTCTCACTTCCATTTCTCCGGTCTGCCGTGGTGGAGGGAGAGGAATGGGGGAAGGAGAAGGCAGGAGGTCAGAAAACAGTTGGGATTCAGCTGCCCCATCCCAAGGGGTTTGGGTCTGAACCCCAGCCCGGCAGGGAGGAGGGAGGAGGAGAGGGGGGTGACCTAGTGGGCTGCGATGGATGATGAGCACCAGGACTCCCGTGACCCGGGAAAGGTGCTGCCTCCCTGGCAGGGGGGGATGGAGCGGGATGATGTGTAAAACCCAAGGTCTTGGGTGGGATGGGATCCCACAGCTGGGCTGGGGACCCCAGGACAGCAGTCCCAGCCTGGCTGGCAGAAATAGAGTTCCCTGCTCAGACAGGGGACCTCAGGATGCGCCCCCCCCCCCCCCCCCCGTACGGCTGGCAGGAATGGCTTGCCCTGCCCAGACTGCCTGCCTGCCATCAAGTGCCCTTTAATGGGCCTGTAAAGACCCACTGATGACCCTCGATCTGGGCCCTGATGGCCGCACTCGGTACCTATTACCATGTAAAAGGCTCCTCTTCCTCCCTTTGTGCTCTTTGTACCTAGGGCTGTTAAGACCTGCCCTTCCCCGAAGTCCCCTGCTAGCCAGGAACATCCTCTCTGGATGTGAGGGGTCACAGGTCTGAGCTCTGGGAGTTAGGATGGCACAAGGACGAGCCCCCCCAGCCCTGGTGCCCAGGAGCAGTGACCCGTCACTACAGGGATGGTGGGTCAGGTGTGCCAAGGGCTGCTCTAGTTCTCTGCTCCCAGGGAAAAGCTTTGTGCCAGGGCATGCACTCCTGCCCACTGGAGAGCCTCAGTGGGAACTGGCCAGGGACATGGGGGGAGCAGAGTGGTTGGACCACCTCAAGGTTTGATGAAGAACATGTGGAAAAGGCTCCTCACACAGAAGCGCACATCCCAGGCACATGTTGGACACCCCCACATACACAGGGACTCCCTGGCCCTCCTGCAACCGCATACCGGAGCCAGCCCAGGGCACTCATACACGGTGAAGTCTCCATCCTCATTCTCCTCATCAGATGATGCTGGGTCTGGCAGCTTGGGCTCCTCTTTATGCCTGGGGGGAAAAGACGCAGAGAGGAGATGAAGCCCAGTGGTATGATTAGGGCCATCCCAGTTAATGGCAGGACCTGCAGTCTGCTCCCAGGCTGCTTACTTCTCCAGGGAGAGCATCTGCTGCTTTTGGTGCTGGTAGTGGTACATTTGGGCACTCTGAGCCAGCGTCTTGTCCCCGGGCTGTGGAGAGAGCAGGAATAGCTGAGGAGGTTGGGCTTTGGAGGGCCCCAGCCTGGCTGGTGGGGGACCTCTACTGTGTGGGAATCCCTCCAGCAGAGCACTGGGGCCTGAGTGCCAAACACTCCACAGGGAGGGACATGGGCGCCTTACCGAGATCTTGTCATAGGGCAGGGGGCTGGCTGCTCGCTGGGCTGAATACTCTGCTTTCTGTGCCAGCCTGATCTCCTTCTGCAGCCTGCCAGGGAGGGGAATTGGAATCAGAGAATCACTAAGGTTGGAAAAGCTTTCTAAGATCAAGTCCAACCATTAACCCAGCAATGCTGAAGTCCACAACTAAACCATGTTGCCAGGTGCCACATCCACATGTTTTCTGAACACTTTCAGGGATGGTGAGCCCTTTCCAATTCCTGACTGATTACATGAATCTTCCCTAATGTCCAGCCGAAATCTCCCCTGAGACAGCTTGAGGCCATTTCCTCTCATCCAGTCCCTTATTCCCTGGGAGAAGAGCCCAACCCTCCTCTGGCTGTCCCCTCCTGTCAGGGAGTTGTGGAGAACCAGAAGGTCCCCACTGAGCCTCCCTTTCTCCAGGCTGAGCCCCTTTCCCAGCTCCCTCAGCCACTCCTGGTACTTCAGACCCTTCCCCAGCTCCACTCTCTTTTCTGGACATACTTCTGTCCCTCAATGTCTTTCCTGCCATGAGGGGCCCAAAACCAGGATTTGAGGTGCCTCACCGGTGCCCACTGTGGGGCACAATGACATCTCTAGTCCATTCTAGAGGATATGGGGAGCCATAGGAGCAGATGACTCCATTCAGGAGCCAGTGACCCTTGGAGGGTCAGCCCTGTTCCTTGTGATGGCACCATGACAGGCATAGCCACCTCCATCCCATGGGGCCTGGGCACAAGGCACCAATGTGCTGGCAGTGTCAGCACCCAGCGCCACAGTGGGGCCCACACCAGGTGCCACCTGCTCCCAGGAGCCTGCATCTGGTGCAGGGGTGTCTCACTACTGTCCTCCTCCCCCAGGATGTCTCACTACTATCCTCCTGCCCCAGCCATCTGATGTCACATCTTGGGGGGACTGGCAAGGGTAGTAGCTGCCTCTCTTCCGATCCCTCACGCCTGGGAAATGTGGTAATACACTGCCCTGGGCACAGGGACACCAAGGGACTGTCAGCAGCCCCAGCTCACCTGCACCAGCAGATGGCCGCCACGATCAGCGCTGAGATTCCGGCCACTGTGCACACCACAATCAGCCCTGCAGAGTTGGAGAGGACAGCAAGGGACAGCAGGTGAGCTGGCAGCACGGTGACACCAGCCCATACTTCACTGGTGAGGGTGTGAAACCTCTCCCTTTGAGTCCCAGGGTCTCACCAAGCACCATGTTGTCATTTGCAGGGATGGGAGATGCCTCCACCGGGTACTTCTGGACCGTGGCAGTGGTGGGAAGGGTGGTGGCTGCCATGGTGCCAGCAGGACCCTGCTGCAGATGCCCCCCTCTCAGCCCACTGCCTGCACGCTGTCCGCCACGGTCAGGCACCAGGGTGGCTGCGGGAGAAGACAGAGCAGTGAGTGGTGCCTGGGCAGCTCCAGAGGGCAAACCTGCCTGGGGTGCAGTGTCTGGCTGCCACGGGGTCCCTGGCACCGCCGGGAGCAGGGAGTGAGCACTTACTCCTGGGTCTGCCATCCTGTAGAGGGTGGTGGCGAGGAGCCTCCTGCCTGGCCAGCACATCCGCAAGAAAATCAATTTCTGCCTCCAAGCTGGGAATGGAGGTCCGTCCTACAGGAGAATGAATGGGTGTGAGATGGGCACTGTGGGGTACAGCTGTGTGCCCACCCCCAGGCCAGACCAGTACCTCCAAGAAGGGGCTCCTGTCCCAGCTCCAGCAAACACAGGTGGTGTTTAATCTGAGGCCCCTCAGACGCAGCTCTCTCAAAGCTGGCCCCCAGGGCCCATGTGTGTCCTTACTGCTTTAAGTGGCATTTTTCACCCCACAAATGCTGGAGGATCAGGAGCAACAGCATCTGCCCTTGTGCCAGAGGCAGCAGGTGCTGAGGACTCTGTGAGAGAGGGCAGGGTGTCAGCCCCCTGGTGTGCAGGACCTGCCCTGTGTCCCTGCCCCTTGGGTCACTAGCAGCCCCAAGTGAGGAGGGATGGGAGCTGGATCATAGACGGATACTCCCCAGCTGCCCTGCTGCCTTAGGGATGAGAAGCAGCTTCAGCACAGTGAGTTGCAGTCAGAGGACACCCGAACACTGGTTTTCACTCCAAATTGTCCTTTATGGCCCAGGGTGGCTGGAGCCACCCCAGAGCAGGGCGCAGTTTGGCTGTTCAGCAGAGCATGGGAGCCCGTGCTCCAGTAGAGAGGTTGGTTCCTGCCCAGCATCTGGTGGGATGCAGCTCCTTTGGGGAGGGGACAGGGGTGCCCCATGCCGTGTGGGATGTACCCCCAGGGGCTGGCTCCAGCATCATCTCACAGGTGGCTGTCCAAGCCCACACCCCAGCACAGTGCTCACCAGGGACATTTGCCCTTCAGGGGGCTCCTGCAGCATCAGACACAGGCAGGACTCCCACTCTGGCCTGGGGGTGCCCAGCCATGAGGTGACAGCATTGCAGCAAGAGTGGAGTTGCTCTTCTCAGGCTCATCAAGCAGAGTCCAGCTCTGACACTCACCACCGCTTTTAACAGGATTAAACTCAATTTCAAAGGCAGTAGACATCCCTGTCCCCATCTCAATCCCCAACCTATCCCTGCTTCCTTTGTGTCCTGGGGTGATTTTATGATGCTTGTATCCCCAGTAGTCTGTTCTGTTCATGTGACATACTCAGTCCTGCACCTTTAGGACTGGCTCCAAGGGCAAAGGGGGAGAAAGAAGAAGCCACAGTTTCTTTTCAGAAACTCACTCCCCCGCATCCTTCTCCGGACTGTGCTGTCTGCAGCATGGACAGACAGCGGGTCAGAGCTCACCTTCGCTTTCAGCTAGCTTTTAGCTAACTAAGTTCCCTGGGCTGTTTTTTTTCTTTTTTCTTGGATCTGTTCAAACCTGCTCTGGACTGAAAACATAGAAAAACACTGGCAGCTCATGCCTGTGGCCCACTGGGGCCTGGGCCTTGGCACTTTCCAGCACTAGAGGGACTGATAAGGGACTGAGCGAGCCGGGCTACACCCCATGAAAAGGACTTTCTGAATTTGCCATCTCTTCAAACAGCAGGTTTATTGTTTAATATTATTCATTTTTAATGTTTGCGAATACTTTGCTTGTTAAACAGTTTTTCCCACTTTTCTTCAAGGAAATCTTTTCCCAAACCAGTTGGGGGAAGGGGCCACTTGGATTTGTTTCTGCAGGGACCCCATTTATTTCTGGAGGTTTTCTCCCAAATTTGCCCTAAACCAGGACACTTTGCCTGTATTCAGACTGTCCCCTCAGGGAAGCCCTGGGGGCTAAATCTAGACATACAAAGGCAAGGTGGTACTTGCAGCTTGATTCCCAGATAATTCAAGGTTACAACCATTACATCTCCTCTGGAATCTGTTCTCACATCCAGTGTTTGGAAATAAACCCTGATTCCATCTGGAGCTGTGCACAAAGGCCACCTTGCTGCCCCATGAGTCAGAGCCACATGAGCCAAAACACAATTTAAAAGGGGGATACTCTTGCTTTAAACAAAAGCACTGAAAGTTACTGTCCCCACATCCTCCATGTCCTTGTGTCCCCAAACTGCCCCCAGCCTCCTACCCCCTTAGCTGGAGCCCTGGGTTTCCCTGGCTCTTTGCCCCTTGTTATATGCATCCCAGAGCAGCACCTTGGGCAAGTGGAGCCAGGTTGGGGCTGTGCCAATGCCGTGCTCAATAGGTGAGTGCCCATGGTGCCAAGGTGCCAGCATGGGACCATGGTCTCCCAATGGGTAAGGGAGTTGGCTTGGGACAGTGTGACAGCCTGTGCCTGAGGGGGACATCGTGGTGCCCAGGATGGGGATAGCCCTGTGCAAGGGGACATCCTAGTGCCTGAGATGGGGACATTCTGTCTCTAGCTCCCTTCTGCAGTCCGGGAAGGGTCTGTCTCCATAGGGAGACCATCAGGCTGTGTTGTTGGTGCTGGATGTGATGTGGCTGGAAAAAGGAAAAAAATAGTTGAAAAAGCAGCCAAAGCAGCTGCCAGGTCCCTCAGAGTCTCCCGTCCTGTGGCAGTGTGTGAAGTGGCACATGGGAAACTGAGGCAGCAGTTTGGGGTCCCAGTGCTGCTGCAGCACCTGGGTTGTGCCACTTACCTGCACTAACCAGCTTTATCACCAAATTCTCTTCCAATGGCTAAAAGCTGCCCACCTCCCATTCTGTGTGGCAGCTGAACCTCCCTCAGTGATGCTACAGTTGCCACCACACATTTGAGGGCACCTCAGCCCTCAAGGGCTGGGTCCTGCCAGGCACTGTGGGTGTGTGTGATACTGGCCCTGAGCTGCTCCAGGAAACAGGGAGCTGGGGCGAGACCCAGTTCCTGCCTGGCTGCCCCAGATGCAGGAGCAGAGATGCTGCGGAGGAACAGGGTCCAGGCAGGACACAGCATACAGGGCATGCAGGGCAAGGATGGGACAGGGACAAGGACAGGGCATGCAGGGCAAGGATGGGACAGGGACAAGGACAGGGCACACAGGCGCACACAGGACATGCACAGGGACACCCGGTGGTGCAGGCAGGGCTTGTGCAGGGTGCAGGTGCCCCCTCATGGTAGTTGTTACCACTGCTGCTGCAGTATGGCATGGCCAGGCTGGCACACAGCTCCCCAGCCCCTCTGCTCTGCCCCTGGCCTCTCCTCAGGGCTTCCACCTCCTCAGGGCTCAATCCTGGGACACACACCTACCCTGGCAGTTTGGGGAAACAGGGACCAAGGAGAGACACAAGTGGCTTCCACCCTGGGCTAAGGAAAACTGTGATTGACAGTGTCCACAGGAGGGCACAAAATTCCTACAAATCCACTAATTTCTATAGTCCTGGCCCAGGATGGCTGATGTCCTCCTTGGTGCTGGCAGCACAGCAAGCAGGGAAGGGGGAACCCACACGTTTGTGAGCTGAAGCCCCTTTTCCCCCTTTTCCCCAAGTGCTTCCTGCAGCCCAGTGGGGGCTCCATGCTGGTCAAGCAGAGGCAGGGATGAGACCCACTATCTCAAAGCACATCAAACCCATCACAGCACATGGTGTGCACATGCAGCACCATGGTGTGCGTGGGATTATGTGGACAGCAGCAGCCAGGTGCAGACAGCCAGCTGTGGGATGCACTGCACCCAGATTCCCTGCATCCCATCTCACCTCTGCACTGATGCTGTGCCGGGTATGCCGAGACCCCTACACATTATAATGGTAGCAACACACCACTCACGTGCATCACCCTCCTGAGACCCCAAATGGGGCTCTTCACCCAAAAAGCTGCTCTTGGGAGAGGACCCCTGGCTCCTTCCAGGAATTGTGGCACAGCAGCAAGATCCCAGGATCGATGTCACCAACAGTCACAAGTGGCTCAAGGATGTGTAACCCTTTAAAGGAGCTGCCTACATAGCAAAAGGGCTGCATGGGTATCCCTTTTAAAGGCTTAGGCATCCTTGGGCTACAGCAGCCCCGTTTGCCTTGCATTCCCTCTAAGTGTAGCTATCACAGCCCCTCTTCATCCTCACAGCCTTCTCTGGTGTTGCTACCACACGAAGGTACAGGCACAATGAGAAAGCCCCCATGGAAAAATAAATGGTGCCTCCCTGCCAAGAGGAGCTGGGCATCCTCAGGATGCTAAAATAGAGGATTTGGGAGAGAATCCCCCTTTTTTATTTACTGCAGTCCCCATACTTTTGCTGCTACAAGCTAGTGGCATTGCTTGGGACAACTGGATGGGACTGGGAGAGACCTTGATGTCACCATCCTCCCATGGTGAGTCCTTAGAGGATGGTAGTGTAGTCCTGCATCTCTCTGGGTGAGGATGCAACTATGGCCACATCCTTCAGAAAGGAGCTGGGTTGCTATGGAGATGCCAGCACACGCGCAGCCCTTGTGAGAGGGGAATTTGCTCTCAAGACTTTTTAATTTATTATTAAAAAATAAACGATAAGCAACTGCTAAAGCCATTCAGTGCCAGTGGATGAATAGCCCATGGCAGAGGTGCTGACTGCTGTCAAATGTCAAGTCTGGACCTCATCCCAGGGGATGCCATCCCCTCTTATCCCCCCAGCCATCCCTCTCATTTCAGCTAAAGGGCCTTGCTTACATGCTCAACAACACAAAGCAATCCCCCAAAACCCAGAGGACCCTTCCATGTCTGCATGGAGTTCAGATGCAGGGGGAGCTGCCTCCCTGGCTCAATGACCAGTGCTTGTCCTTCCTGCCTGGCATAGGGAGGGACATGCTTTTAGAAACTCTCCAGGAGTTGGGAACCCCTTAACAAGAGACTTTTGGGGGCAGCGGGAGTGAAGAGTGGGTGAAGGGTGGGCTGGGGCAGATGTCAATACGTTCTGCACCAGGAGATGACTCAGAGGTGCTCCAGAGTACCTTGCATCCAGGTGGTCCCCAGCAAAACCCACCAGGAGCAGCCTGAGGACGTGGCCAGTCCTGGCCTCTCCCCCAGCCACAGAGGGCACTCCACTTTATACCAATAAATAATTGTGTGCCATAATTATGGTCTTTACTCACCTGTGAGATGGTCCCATGATAAGAGGGCACAGAAATAGCTCTGCCACAGCTTCCCAAGCTGCATAAAGAGTTGACTGTCATGCTAAAAAATGCCTATGCCTGGCCACAGCACTGTCTTTGCAGCTGAACCAGGGGCACAAGGGTCAAAGCTGCACTGGGAGCATCCTTCAAGTATTGCAGTAGCAGTGGGATGGGTGACATGGGCTGCTGCACCCAGGCTGTCACAGCCCCTCAGATCCCTTGGGGACAGAGCCAGGAATAACACCCGGTGCAGCCCCCAGTGCCCTGGTATGCAGCCAGGGAGTGGTCCTGCCCGTCACAGCCGACTCCAACCCTCTCAGCATGGACGCTGGGCATCACCCAAGGAGGAAACATCAGTGAACCACAGTCCAACATCTGAAACCAAAGACAATCAGGCATTGCAACCTGGCTGGTTGGTACCAGCTCAGCCCTGGGATGGGTGAGGCCACAGGCACCTGTTTCAGTCACCCACAGAATCAGCCTAAGTGAACGCTCTGTGCTGAAAGCAGTGCCCCTGCTCCTGCAAAGACAGAACCCTAGAACAGCCAGGCAGACCCTGGAGATCCCCAGAAGCTGCCTGTCCTACTCCTGTCCTTGGAGGTCCTGGGCTCCCCACAGCGCTGACAGGGCCACACACAGTCACCAGAGGAGGATGCATATAGAGCAGGGTGGGGTTGCCAGCCCAAAACCACCCCCACAGCTGAGGTGAGTTGGGTGAGACGGAGAGGAGCAGCTGTCCCCACAGAGATACAGCTGCCATGGAGAGAAGAGAGAGGATGGGGTACTGCTGGGGTGGGGGGCGGTCCTGAGGCACAGAACCTTCCAGAGCTGCAGGGTAGGTGTGCAGGCAGAGGGGTGGAGGATGGGTGCACTTACCACTGGGTGAGAGCTGCTTCTGGACACAGCGGCCGTGGTCATCCTCCTGGAAGGGGGGCAGGCAGGGCCCACAGGCACCTGACCCCGGCGGGCAGAACTCTCGGCGCTGCAGGGCACAGTCCAGGCTCCGGGGACATGATGCTGCTGTGGAGACAGGATAAAACAGCTCAGGAGATGGAGAGGAGTCAAACGCCCCCAGCTCTGTTCAAACCCTCTTGGTGTGGGACCCAGCCGCCCTGGGCTGCCCATGGCTGCTTCTGCTGCAGCTCCCAGCTATCAACAGGCTTCACCAAAGCCACCCCTGGGCCCTGTTCTGCCTCCACAAAGCCATTAACAGCTGGAATTAACCACAAGCTTAATGCCTAAGGAGTTGGACTCAATGATCTTCATGGGTCCCTTCCAACTTGAGGTAGCCTGTGATTCTGTGACCTGCACAAAGCAGTATGCAGTGATGAATAGGCAGTGCCCATACCCCTCAAGGTATGGGCACAGGGTGCCACCCCATGGGAGTGCTGCAGAACACTGAGCCCTGCAGAGCTGGCAGTCACCAGGATCTCCTGCTCCTGCCTGCCCTGCATGGGGAGATGAAATCCAACCAGCACAGACAAATACTAGTCTGATGACTGTCAAATCAGAAGTCCCAAACAACTCCCCCAAAGCCCCAGCAGGGTGTGACAGTGCTGGTACCAGCACTTACCTCCCATTCCATGGCATTTCCTGGAGCAAGCAGTGGAAGCCAGCCCTCCCTAGCACTGACCTGCACCCTAAACCTCACTCGCAGTTTCATGGGGCATCTCATGCCCATGTCAGCCCCAGGAAGTCTCCACTCCCTGGGTACAGGCACGAGGCCCCCAGGCTCCAGCCTCACTGTGCCATGGGAGTACCATCATGGCTGGGTTTTCACCTCAGGAGGTGGATCTTCCTGAGGGACACAAGAGCCCTGTGTCTTACACAAAGCTGAGTCCTGGACCAGGTGATGGTGGCAAAGCATGTGCAGAGCTGGAAACAGGAACTGTGACACGAAGGGCCAGCACTCAGGTACCACCTGCAGCAGGGGACACACTGGGGTCCTGGCTTTGATGGTGACACTGCTGGTCCTGCTGCAGCACAAGTGTCTTTGTGTGCGGCCATGCCTGCAGCGTTCCCACAGGCAGCAGTGGGCAGGGACCAGAACTGAGGGGCTGCACTGAGAGCAGGATCAGGACTGAGGGGCTGCACTGAGAGCAGGATCAGGACTGAGGGGCTGCACTGAGAGCAGGATCAGGACTGAGGGGCTAGACTGGCAATGCATCACAGCAGGAGCCTGCTCCCAGCAATGGCCCACGCACCCTGAGCAGTCCCTGCCAGCCCTCGCCGCCCACACCGGCACCAGCAATGCCTTGGCCACCCATCTGTCCCTGCGCCTGGGGATGGCAACACAGGGGACAGCCCCTGTGCACTCCACAGCGAGGGGAACCACAACTGTGGAGGCTGTCCTGAGCATCCCCAGCCCTGCAGCACACCAAGGGCAAGGGGGACAGCACCCTGTACACAGCTGAGAGTCCTAAACAGGATGGAACCGCCAGGACACGAATCATGACAGATCTGCTCCCCCAGCAAGGGCACGGGAAAGATGTCACCCCAAAGCCACACAAGTGGGATATGCACCCCCCTGCCTTTGTATGGCCATATTCCACCACCAAACTGCTCCCTGGAGGGTGCAGCTGCTACTAAGAACCCCCAGCCTGTGCCCATGCACACATGCCACTGCACCCCAGGAGGAAGTCATCATCATGGGATCCAGGACCATCTTCCCCACCTTGGCTGCCACAAGGGTGCAGCAATGACAGTTTTAATGCTGGCTGACCCCCATGCCAGGCAGAGCAGCCTGGGGAGGTTGCCCTTGGGGTGGGGGAACATGCCCACTGTGCCCCATGGGAGCTCAGTTTTTTGCTGGACTATTTGCTCCCCGCAGATGGTGTGGGGCTTGGCCACATGGCTGGGTGGCAAGAAGTGCTTAATGGGCAAATAATCAGATGTCTAAGCACAGAATCTGGACTTAGCTTCTGGCTTCACATCCCTAGGGTTACTCTCAAGGTTGCTGTGTTTAAAAATCAGGGCAGGAGGAGGTTGTGGCACTGTGCAGTCTCAGGCTGCAGACACACTGGGGTGGGGGACACACCTGTAGGAGCCCTTGTCTGTGCCACAGGTTCATGGAAACACTTCCTCCTAAAACAGGTGCTGCAAAAAGCTTATCACTGACAGAGGAAGTCACCCCAGGGTGGGTAACCCCACAGCACCAGACATTGACAAGACCCTCAGAGCCACCTTATGAGGAGCAATGGGGGCAGAGCCCCGAGCCAGACTCCAGCAACTGGGTAAATAAAGCCCAGGCTGGATCCCAGTGAAGGCCGTTATCTTTGTTTGAGGAACAAGTTATGCTTGCCCAGCTGTCACTGGCTGTAATTCAGAGCTCCCCATGTGCCACCAGCCAGCGACTGGTGAGCTGGCATCGCTGTGTGGGCACCCTGTGGACTGAGGGGGCCCACAGGGGCTTTGCCACTCTCTGAGCCCACCTCAAAGCCCAGCAGTAAGAGTCTTGTGCTGGTGGAAGTGAGCACCTCAGTGCCATGCTAGGTAATGGGGACCAAGCACTCTGAGTGCCACCACCCAGGCACCACTTGGGCACCTCCAACCTTGACTGCTGCCACCCTATGGGGCTGCCACACTACACTGCCCCAGTGCTGTGCCACACTCGCATGCTCACACGTTCCTGGGGGCTGGTGCCACCTGTCCAGTGCTCAAGCAGAGAGGTGGTGGATTCCCCAGCACTCTGGCCAGGGGTCCCCTCTCCTGAACACCCACCCCAAGGTGGGCTGGCACAGCATGTGGGTCCCAATTCCACCCAGCTGTGGCCATGTCACCACCTTGCCACCCACCTGTTACCAGTGTCAGCACAGCTGCTGCATCTCCCAGTCTTGCCTCTGCACCTGCAGGGCTGCTGTTGAATCTGGGTGAGTTTGGGATCTCCCCATCCCAACCACGCCACCTGCTTGGCACCAGTGCACCCCAGCAGGGCCTGGCCACAAGTGGGATGGGCAGAGGGACCCGAGCTGGGATCTGGCTGAAGTCCTGTGACTTGGCATGGCCCTGCCAGCAGGAACAGTACAGACCAGAGGAGCGAGCAATAAATAACATGGAATGGTCTGGTGGCCAGCACCAGACACAGCACAGCCAGGATGCTGCTGTCCAGATGTGCCAAGGGTGTTTGGAGGAGGGGGATGCTCCAATTACCATCATTGCCCTGCCATGGTGCTCAACTCCTGTGCAGGTGGGCAGGGAGGCCAGAACAGCACAACTGGGGTAAGTGTACTGGGCCAAGCTGCTGGTGCTGGAGGAACCGAGTGGCTCCCTGCAGGCAGCACCCCAGCCCAAGGCAAGCAGGTGCATGGGACACAGCAGCTGGCACAGACAGCAGGTGAGCACGAGTTGGGGACACATGTAATCAGGAACAGAGCTGTGCCCAGGAGGAAACATGGTCATGTGAGCAGCAAGGCCTCTGGATGTGTTATCCACAGGGGAAAGCTGAGTGCAAAGCTCCACCCCCAAGGACTCACCCTGGGGAGAGCTGTGCTGGGCACCCAGGGTGGTACTCAAGACCAGCAGAATGCTTGTGACAGGGGCTGCCCAGGCAGGGCATAGAGACACTGGCAGTCACAAACTGAGTGGAGCAGCTCTTCCACACTCATGCCAAAACATGCAGGTGAAAAAGAAACAAAAATAAACCCAATGAGGACAGCTGTGTGGCCAGGGAGGCAGGGACTGCCCCTGCTGCGTCACTGCTGCAGATAGAGAGATAAAAGTGAACGTAAGAGGATAATTAATTAGCACCCAGCACTGGTGTGAATGTTTAAGGTCCCAGCAATGCCAACACCCAGCCTCCCTCTCAGCTGAGTTGTGCCAACGGTTTGAGCTGGCAGAGCCCACTGGGCATGGGCTGAGCCCACGGGGCACTGGCTGCACAGCCACATGGGCACAGAACAGCCCACCCAGGACCACCGGGTCTGGTCCCTCTATGGCAGCAGGACACGGCCCCTGGGCATGTCAGGACATGGGCACTGAGCATGGGGGGATATCGGGGTGTCTGGGGAACAGGGTGCAGGTCTCACTCCCATGTCAGGCCCCTACATGCTGGCTGAGGCTGAGGAAAGACCACAGCAAGGCCATGACAGAACCCCAGCAGCAGTAGCAGCAGCCCCTGCAGGGCCTGCAGTGGTGTGGTCTCTGCCAGCTCCACTCCAAGGTCACTACTTCTCCTCTTCCTCATCTTCCTCCTCAGCCAGATAATGTGGGAACTGACGTGGGCTCTACCTGCCCTCCCAGTACTTCCATGGCCAGCAGGCACTGGCCATGGCTCCCTCCCAGAGCTGCAAAGTGCTCCTGGCTCTGAAGGAGAGCTCTGGAGCAGGCCCTGGGCAAGCTGGTGGGCAGGCATCAGACAGAGAGGCTGGTATGATGCCCCCACCAGACCCCAGCCCCTGAGGTCTTTCTTCCCCCTGTCCACAGCCTCCCTGGGCAGGGGCAGTGCTGCTGTCCAGCAGCAGGCTGGAGCAGGGGTTGCTGAGGCACCCCAGCACCTCACCTGCACTGCCCCATGCCCAGGGATGTGGCTTCTGAAGTGAGTCAGGGCCAGTAACTGCCAGCAGCTGCAGTAATGCCAGGCTGGATGCTGTACACACCAGCCACGGGTGACACATAGACTGACTGTAGGACGGACACCCCGCTGGTGGCTGTGACCTGGTGGGCTTCCTGACCCAGCTGCATCCCCCTGCCCTGCTGTCTCTTGCACTAGGAAGCAGGTGGATGGGGACTGGATTGAACCCCCAGAGCAATGCCCACTCCTGGACACAGCTGGCACCACTGCTCAGGCAGTCCCTGTGCAAGCCCTGCCACTGCCAGCAGCTGCTCACGTCACTGCTGTGTTCCTGCCCCTGAAAATGCAGCAGCCAAGCCCCCTCCCACGCAGAGACAGCAGAGCAGGGCTCTCTGCAGCGCTGACCCCGCAAACCAGGAGTTGGGGGCCGCTGGTCACATCACGTCACTGCTGGGGAGAGAGCATGTGGCACAGCCATGGCCACCAGTCTGGCCCCATGTCCTGCAGC